CGATTCTGCTTTCGAATTCAAAGCAAAGTAAAATACGGAAGTCTTATCTTGCATATACATAAATATAAAAGAGATTAGTTTATGTCTGAAGCTAAATAGTTGTCTTTGACTTAGACATATTCTTAAAATAAATGAAGACAGTTTATTAATGAGTTTATTATTTAATGAGTTTAGATATTGCATATCTAAACTCATTAAAAATTTATTCAACCAAGTAAAATTGTAAAAACAATTTTTGCTAACGAATCAGAATTTCTCATAGCTTCTTGTTTAAAGTTCTTTTCACCATATTAAATACATGATTAATTCTTAAATTTTGCTTAACTATAAAAGCTTTTGATGCATAACTATTAAATTTAATTTAGATTTACAACTTTTCAATGCTATCATTTGGGCGGAAAACTTTTATCTACATTTATATCTTTGATTTTTCTTAGTATTAAAATTCAATAGTTAAAATTATATTCAATTGAAACTGTCTTTTCAAAACATCCATTCAAAGACACGTTTTACAGATGAAAAAAAAAATAGAGAAAATATTTTTAAAAGTTAAATGCTTTCATGTTAAAAATTGCTTGATTAAATTTTTCCTAATGCATATAAATTTCTTTTACATGAAAGGTTTTTAAAGCTATGTTAAGAAGAAAAGTTAATAAATGTTTCTTTTATGAATTTTAAGTTCTGTGCAAAGTATTTCTTCTAGCATATATAATCTTCTCAGTTTATAGTTTTTTAACATCTATTTAATATTTCCAGTTAAGAAGTTAAAATATTATCCTATGGAAATTTTAATAAATGCTTAGAAGTTAAATATGACCAGGGTGAAGTGTTCAACTTTGTTTTCAATTCTTCTCTGAACATATCGCTGGAGCCACGCCCACATCGCGAAATCATTATTTCGAGAAGAGCGTGATAAAAGATATTCTTTGATATCATTTTGAAAGAAGCTAAATTATTACATTACAAAGTGTTGTTTGTATGCATTTCGTTCTTTTAACTTAAAACATGGAAAACATAACACTGAAAAAACGTATTTAACTGAAAATAGCAGAAAACAGTCATTCGAAGATTTGGCATAATCAAGGGATGATGATGCAAATGACAGAGAAGATTCAATATTTTAAGTTTGAAGAACTCAATCATGTAAAATGGTTAATATAAAACTATAAAATCTCTAATAAAAAAGAGCAAGTCCCAGCTACGTGTAAATTTCAATTCAGTCTTTTCTGTAGTTAGTAATACTCCTCCAAAACTCTCTTGAAAAGAGATGATGTAACTAGATTGCACACACAAGAGCATTTTGTAATTATATATTTGCAAATCTCTACTTAACAAAGTAAAATCTTACACGGAAGAAGCAAACACTTAATACGGCTTCTTCGAAAAGTTTTTTTACTCACCGGGTTCAGCAAAAGCGATGATCTCGGAAGTGCGGGCGTAGTAATCATCTCTACCGCCGGCGCCTTCTCCACCCGGATGTGTTCCCTCGTGCTCTCCCGGCAGACTTCCCTTCGTTCGCAATACCTCCAATGCTACCTCCCGGGGAAGGGTCGATGTGATGTTCGGCTTATCCTGCAGATGAAGTTTGGAGAGAATCTGTTGTTTGATGGCCTCGAGCTTGAGACGTGCCGCCTGTTGCCGATCGCTCACTCCACATTCAGGACAGGTGGCAGCGGAGTGCCGGCAGCACGCCAAAAGGAGGATAGAAACCAGTAGCATCATCGACGTGCGGACAGGCAGAGCTATTGTGGCCGCAGTGGCGGTGGGACTGCTTTCGGGATTGGATGAACTTGGGAGCGCAGCATCTATAGAAGCGAAAGATCTCTGTTCTTGCTGTTTTGCGATCGTTACACCAGCTAGCGGCGAAAAGCTAAATTACTGAGTACCTCTATTTATTATTCTGCTTAAATTTCTTTAACGAGAACTAGGATTGGTTTAAATATGTAACATATATTCATTGGCCCGCTTTCATTCTAATGCCAAGTACAAAGTAAATCATTTGTTTGCTAATGTTTCGAAATAAATCTGCAATACCCATTTAATATTTAGTTGAAAAAACAGTTAATTTTTGTACTTAATTAAATAAATGTAGCCAATGAAAGATTTTGAAATGTCTCAAATAACATCTACATATCAATATTTTACTAATCTTTTTCCACGTGAATCTCTCCAAATGTATATACTTCTTCGAATTTTGAAACTAATTATATATAATAAGGTTTATTTTTTTTAACAAAGATTTTCTCAAAGGCTTTGCATCTTCCTTTGGAAAAAATATACTTTAAGAGTTTTCTATTTTTAAACTATATATTTCATAATGTGCTTAGGTAAACTAAACATAAATGTCTATACAATTAGTAAAAAATATTGCGCTTTTTTTTTTTTTTTTTTTTTTTTTTTTCAGATTTGCGTCTCTTTGCTACAACTATGTTCATTATGTTTAACTGTTTTATTTCCATATTAAAAAAATATTCCTGAAACGTTTTACGGAAGTTTCAATAAGGGAAAGGGGTTTCCTTCCATGACCAAGGGTCATTCTGGAAATAACAAAATATGCGGGAACGGATTTTATTATTGCTAACATAACTTAATGGAATATCTTAAACTTAATGGGACAAACTATATTTCACAGATATTACTAAAGTTCAAAGAGCTGTGTAATAAATAATTAATAAATAAAAATGATATCAGCAATTATAGATAATATATATGAAATATTTTAAGAATACTTTCGTAACATTGTAAGGATCTTAAGTTTTACTAACGTTTATTTTTATTTTAAATCTTTACTATCACTTCTTATTTTCTACTTCCGGCCAGAATTAAAAGCTTTAACTTATTTATGCAAATTTATCTGGCGAACGCCAAGTACTTAAGTTGTGGCTTTTTGCCAAGAAAGAGAGAGGAAGGAGTTAGTTGAAGCAGGCCGCTTGCCTTAGCAGTTTTTACTCGGTTGCTGGTTGCTTTCAAGGCCAGAGGTTTAATACTCTTAATAATTTTAAACGTATTGTAGTGTTAACAGTTCTCTGTACTACATACGGCTTCCTGTTAATATACGGCCAATCTTCCACGTAGGCCCTTGTTTGTTATTCCAAATTTAAGTTAGAGTTTAGTTAATATTTTTATATTCTTACGTTCAGACCACAAGTAGTTGGTCTCTGTATTCCGAAGTACGGAAATTATTGTAAAGAGTGAAAAATAAAGGGTTTCGTATACCCTTCCTGTGTATCTTGTCTACTTCCCACATTTATTGGACACAGCTTTAGTAAGCTCCCTGTTCCGAGTCAGGTCTTTGCATGTTCCCAAAGAAAGTAAGGCGGAACATTGAACCTGATAACATATTAGAATCTATGGGTATTCTTTGGTACCCTGAACTCTATGCTGAAGACTAAGTAGCGAATTCTTGCTATGTCTTTAAGAATAAATACTGCAGCAGAAAGTTTTAAATAACCTTTATATTTAAACTAAAATTAAAATAGTTGAACGAACTTCCTGCTCACAAATCACCACCACTTGTGGCTACGTAACAGAAAATAAGAATGTAACAAATCATTAGTAAATTAAAAAATTCTAATGACTGGCTCCTTAGCTTAAACTAACGCTAAATCGACTGCAGACACCAAAGCCGAACAGTTAAATATCAGTAAAACTAAACAGGTATCGAATATCGAATTAGAGAGTTAATTTTAAACTCGCAGCATAAACATCGGAACTAAGTCCGCTACTACTACTACTCTTTTGAACTCTTGAAACTCAGCTTAAGTACTGCTTCTGAAACACGTTGAGAATTTGCATCTACTTCATACAAAGTTTACACTCCGGTAGGGAACTGAAATCAGAAGGAACAGGAAAGTCAAACTGAAAATAATTGGTTAGAATAAATGAAATCCTTACAACATAATCTTTTAACTACTTCATAAAGCATGACAAAGATATTTCTATTTATTTTCTTAACATTTGAAAAAAGTGATTTTGTTTTCATGATGAATATAAAATTGGATTCAGTTAAAATAATACACTGCTTGCAGCAACTCTGATCATAAAAACTTTCTTTCACCTTGTAATCTGTAATAATACAATGCATATCAGTGTAAAGGGGTAGCATTCGATATTAAAGTTTCACATGGCAATTAAAATTCAGGTTACTACTGAAATCCTGTTGTATAAGTGCAGTATTATTATAAGTCGAATGTTTGGTGTCTGAAATGAATATGGAGAGCACAAGAAACTAGACAGTATTAGTTGTTCTGGAAAAAATGAAGAAAATACAGTTTAGAGAGACATTAAAAGCAGTTCTACCCAAAAGTAGAAGCAACCTTTAATTCCAGATCACTCACACAGGCAAGCCAGGAAGGCATGCCTTTCTGCATACCTTTCTGGTTTAATTGGAAGCATACTTGACGCGTATTCGAGAGGTCAATGGTTCGAGTCCCGAAGAGGGCACTGCACATTTTTCACCTCTCCTGTTTCAAAAAATATATAAATAAATAAATAAAAAACCTAATGAGTCTCCAACTCTCACGTACGCTTATTGTTTAATAACCATATTTATGTTTCGCAGTAAGCATTAATGATTTTATTAATATTTTACGTTAGGCGCAATTAGCAGTATCAAATATTAGATAGAAAGATTGCTTCTAAAAGAACCGTTTTGGGGGATTTTTGGAAAGAAAGGTGCAGAATAAGTAAGAAATATTTATAAAGTAGGTTTTGAAAGAAATCTATAGAAATGTTCTGAGTAAACACGAAAATAGCATGTATTAAGTTCCATTCAGGAGAGATATAAATCATGAAAAACCGTTTTAGATAGTATTCAATGCTTGCAAATGCACCCAATTTTGTTTTAAATACATTTTCAGTTTAAACTTTACTATGACAAACTACTGTTAAAAAACCAATGGAGGTAGACTCCTTTATGTATGCAATAATCAAATTATTTACAAATGAATAAAGGTAAATTTCATTTTTAAAGTTATTTAATTTATTTTGAATATATTTACATTTTTACAGGTTTCTCTGTTTTTGAATCCCTTAAGCTTTCGTTTTTATTCTGATTTTCAAAAGAAAAAGCAGCACGTAGCACATCATCATATATATTATTCTCAACAGGATAGATTTTACGAAAATTTCCCATCATTTGGTTTTCTTGTCTTTCATGGTATTCTGAGAGTATTCTTTCCCTGGCTGTTAAGTGCCTGTCAAAATATAAATCACATCAAACATCACAATGTTGTAAAATAGCGACGTAAGCGTTTACCAACCGTATTTAGTCGCATTTAAAATTCTGCATAATTCTTCTTGCAGTTTCTGTTCTGCTAATAAATCTTAAATTTAAAAGGTGAGACGAAAAATGTTTAAGTAATTTTATGAACATGCTCCCATTTAGAGACGCTTCCATCTGGCTTACATCCACATCATTCTTTCACTAACCATTTAATCGATATAGTGTATTCACAAACTTAATCCCTACTGTGTCATAAGGTGATTTCAGAAAATTTTATTTTCAATTTATTTGAATTTTTTTCTGCGATTGCCATATTAAAAGTAAAAAGTCATTTGATAATCGGAAATCCACCCTTTTTCATATAAATAAAGTAATTTAAAATTAGTTCCACACAAGCAATAACTGGAATAAATAAACTAATGAGCACAATTTGATAATTGTAAAAATTTTAAATAACTTTTTTAAAAATGCACCCAGTTAAGACCATTTGGCAGCTGAATTGTTAGTGTTTAATAATATAGTAGGTATAATGAAAATTTGTATGACACCTCATTTCGAGGTATGTGTCCAAATCATAAATATATGATTTCGAAATTTTATAATTCTTTCAGAACTAGAATTTTTAAAATATGTCCATTTAAAAGTGCTGTCTTTATAAATACTCTATACTGTCTTAAGTATTTCTTTACATATTAAATTTTTTTCTGTGCTAATTGATTCTAAAATGTTATCACGTAGAATAGAACAAAACTCTCATAAAATGTAGAGTTACTATTGTAACTGGAGTTGTAGTTAAAATCCTGCCAATTCTACTGGACAGATAGCTGAAGAAGGTTTAAAATAACCTTTCATTTTTAGTCTAAATTGAACATAAAGACATGACCACCATTTGTGACCAAAGAGCGGAAGGTGTTTAGCTCAGAAACCGCGCAAGATGAGACTGCATCAAATGCTAGACCGGAAAGCTCAGCCAGAAGTCATACGTAGGCATTTATCAGATTGCTGTTGCTTGAATCTGGATACATCAGCATATACTTCGTGTACAATACGAGCAGCTGAATGTAAACCACAGTTCGAGGATCATCCGGAGTGTCTGTTGCAAAAGTGTGAAGCGATGTAGCACTTACAAACGTTACGTGAACAGTACCGGTTTTCTTGCTTTTAACCATCAGTGTCCCTACACGTCATGTTTAGGCGTAAAAGTGTCGATCTAACCCTTTATAGACCCGACATACGGAAAGTGAACTGCATTCGATGCTCTTCCACTGCTCACCAATGACACTGTTGCAGTGCCATCTCGAAAATCGAAATTTTTCCTTTCAGGAATCTAGAAGATGTGAGTCAAAGAAAGTCTTGCGAAAATATGTGCTTCGAAGGAATCTAAATTTAGAAATAATATTAAATTAAATGAGACTTCGTAAAAGTTGGGTAAAGCATTTAGGTTTTAGATTTTGAAATCTCATCCAAGCTCATTTAGATCTTTGTTTTCGATTATTTTAAATTTTGGTGAGGATGAATGTAGATCATTTTAGGTTAATTAATCAGTTATTATAATTTAAAATATTTACTATAATTTCTCCTTTCCGTTGTCCTAACTAGGATGCAAATTAGATGGTTACAGTATTAAAGTCGAGAATATGGAATGTTATAGAGTTATGTATGCATTAGAGGCTTTCGGTAGTGTCGGCTGCAAGTTACGTTCTGTCGCCTAGCTTCAGCCAGTGAATATCCCGACTTCAGACATTTTTGCTATTAGGCGGCGTTAAAAACGCGCCATTACAATATTCAGCTAGCTTGAATAGGCCAATCTGAGTAATTTTTGATTAAATTACCTTTAATCTGAAACCTCAACTTTCTTATTTTAAATATCTGAAAATGGGGGACTTTATTTCTACACACAAGTTGTGTTTTCTGTTCATTTAATGATTCAATAAAAAATTTATTTACAGCATCCTCAGTCATTTGTCATAATATTTCAGTCGAAGCGATAGCTCGCTGGTCAGTCAAATAGGATCAGAACGACTTTGATTTAATTTATTAACTAGATTTTACTAATTATTAACTAGTTTTTCCTATAAGCCTCATAGAGTTGCTTAGAAAAGTCTTTTACGAAAGCTTCTCTAGGTCCTTTGAAAAAGTATCCTTTGGAAAATAGTCCTTATAAGCTCTACTATATTCGAAAAATTATAACCCTTGAGACAAAAGATCGTATATTTCAAATATGCAAAGTAATTAAATGAGTAATAAATCAAATATTTTCGAAATGCGTATTCTGAAGACGCTATCACAATTTGTAATTCAAAAATATTAGAAATAGGTATCTGTTAGCTTAAAAAATGCTTATAATACGTAAGTAACAGTTGTTAAATTTTTTAATTTGCAATTCAAGTTAAAGTTCGATTAGTAACATATAAAAATATCTGTTATTAATTGATAATGCCATAGAAATTGGCTTAAGAAAGAATTGATTTACCTTGTGAGGCTGGGGTTGGTGAGCCTTCGAACAGCTTTCAGGTGCTCCTCATCTTTAATGAAATTGATTTGCTTCGGAGACAGCAGTACCATGTCTAATATATTGTTTAATAGACCTTTCTTTAAATGAATGTCCATAGATGTTGTACCACCCAAGCTTGGAGATCGATTCACCTATGAAAAAAAGAAACATTTTAAACATAGATTTAAATAATGTCTTTTACTATTATAGAATTCTAAATTCTAAATTGGAACTTATGATAACAATGGAATTTAATTTTATATTAAAAATTCTGATTTGCTTTTCTTTCTCTTAACTAGATAAATCTAATATTTGATAACATTATTTGCTGCACATGGGAGTAACAATATGTATTTGGAGAAAAAGAGGAATGGCTAGTTATTGCAATATACGAACAGATTAGATGCATCGAGATGTAAATGTTTCGTAAAATTTAACATAGAAATTTGATGCAGCATTTAAATGTATTCGCAAAATTATCATGTGCATTCGTCGGTAAAATTGTAATGATATTTCTGAGCTTGGATTGAATTAAGATGATATCCATTAGTTTCCAAATTTAATTAAAGATCTGTTCAATTTAGATTTGCCTTCTTATAATTTTTAAATGCTAAAAAGAACGGAATTAAAAGTGATATAATGTTTTACAAAATAATTACAATCTTAAAAAACGTTCGAAATTTGTTTCATCATTTAGCGTACTCATGCGACTATGATTACCTAGCAGAATAAAGAAGAAAAGATGTATAGGTAAAGAGTGGAACACGCCTAAGGTTATTTCTGTATATATTTGAGTGAAAACTATCTATAATCTTATCTGTAACAGATTCATAACGATGAATATTACAAAGTTATATTAGTATAAATAATGCAATATTTTCAGAGAATATATTAGTGGATATCAAGATACCATTTATTTATAAATATCACATACTATATATGTTCTCCAATCCTTTGAACAAAGTATAAGCAGAACAAAACGTCACCAGAATAGGTCCTTCCTTGCCCAGGAGTTAACCGTACAAGGATGGTTATCAACTCAGCAGATGTATTCTATATTCTGCACTAGTTACGTTAAAGCACTAAGAGAACATTTCCTGAGCATTCGAAGTGTACAAATATGCATACATATAAATTTTATATATAAAGGTAACAAAGCTGAATTATTTAGGCATGAATATTTATTATGATAGTTTATGCATATAGGGCCCACCAGCGGCCGAGCGGTCGCTGAACACTGGTAGTTCGGTCCGAGGTTCGAATCCCGCGAACGGGCTGGCTGCATGGGCGTTTTCGTGGTTTTCCCCATGTGTAACGTGTATACGAGCCAGTTTCCCTTAGAAAGTCCTCCACGAAAGGCATCCCTCCCCTTAGGCAGATAGCCCTAGTGTGCTTTGCCATAATTAAATACACCACCAGTTTATGCATATAAAATGTTTACAATTCTGAATAACAGTAGGTAATGAATAGTGTAATAGAACAAAATATATTAAGTTACATAAAATATATAGAATATAGAATATTACATACAGAATGATATATAGTTGTGTAAATTTTTGACACATTAGTCTATCTTCTGGAATGAAAATAAAGCTACTTTCTTCGAAAGATGGAATCGCTTATCATAATATAGTAATTTCAAGTATGAAACTGTTTTCAGTCCGTGCTGCCTAGTTTAAAGCATTGGGTTTTGCTGTTACCTTGTACTGATACGAGCAAAAGCATAATAGTAAATGAGACATTGGCATTGATCCAATGTCTTCTGTGCGCACCTGCATTTGCTTCTAGACTTAAAGCCGAGTCGCTGCAAATGTTTACATGGCCTTGAATTTTTTTTGCTTTTTGAAATTTGCTTCAAGGGCCAGGAGCTCTGCTTAAAATACTGTGTTGTGATTATCCAGTATACTATTTCAGGTAAATTTGAAAGAGTTATTAACATAGAAGAAACAATTCCCTCTACTGTTGTATGCTTTTCAGCCATCTGATATACAGATGGCTGAAAAGCATACAACTTTTAGAGCTTTTAGAGCTGAAATTATAGAAGGATTGTCCATGTGGATTACTATATAAAGACTTAAATGCGCTGGATAGTATTCGAATGTAAGTCTGTGGTGCTCGAAGTGTTCACATTATATTCTGCGCCCCACAAGGTCCAGTTTTATTTTAGCCTTCAAATATTTCCTAGAAAGGCCTCTCAACTCTAATGGCGGTATTCCAGCTAGAACTTGAAGGGATGACCTTGAAATTGTGTAATAGTCCCTGTCGATACGCAGTAGTTTAACTTTATGATCAATTTTAGATGATGATTGAGGTTTTCACCGCATGCAGCTTCATCATATAAGATAATTTGTCCTACAATCGTAAGGTACCAAAGCCTAAGAAGATTCGCCTGCACCGCCATTTAAAGGAAGAACTGTACTGCATTGAGTTTGACAATAACTTTATGTACTTGATAAATGGTACAAACGAGAATTTATTATCAATAAAAAGGCCTAATTTTTTTTATTTGCTGCACATATTTAAAGCATTTTTCATTAAACTGAACACATGGATTATGTTTGAAAGGATATTTTCGGTCAATTACAAGACCTGACTTCTTTAGCAGGATATTACAATATTGTGGGTATTTGACCAGTCTACAAATTCATCGACACTTGCTTATCATTTTATTTGCAGAATGCTAAACCCGAGACCACCAGTAGGAAATCGTAAGCTATCAGGGCTAGTGTGAATAATGCCATCATGAGCCTTGGAGATATTGTTTCGTTATGTTATACACTGACGAGCCAAAAATTTATGATCATCCACATATTGTTCCATGAACTCGTCTGGATAACGTCAAGAGCACGTGATTAAATTGAAATAAGATTTAACTGCTGCTGTAGAAAGCAAGGAATCATTCTTGGACTTGCTTTTGCGAGTCATGGGAAAGGCTGCTGATTTAAGCGAATTTGATAGAGGGCAGATTGTAATGAGCCAAAGACTCAGATCGTGTATCTACGAAACTGCACGACTAGTAGACTAATCTCGATCTGCCATTGTTAGTTTTTATGCAAAGTTGATAAATGATGTAAAACCAGCATTAGATTCCGAAGTGTTTGACGTCGAAGCGTTATCAAAGAAAAAGGAGGTCGAAGACTGTCCCGCGTGGTATAGCAAAATCGTCTGACAGCTAGCCCATTATAATGCAGGTCAAAGTGCAAGTGTTTTGGAACACACAGTTCAGCGAATACTGTTGGATATAGGACAGTGCAGCAGACGTCCACTCGTGTGCCCCTGCTGACTAAGTGCCATTGTCAACTACGCTTACAATGAGCCCCGGAACATCGAGACTGGACCATAGATAAGTGGAAGATAGTTGCCTAGTCGGATGAATTGCTATTTCTTATTTATTACGTCGATGGTCGTGTCTTCGAGGCCTTTTCCAGGCGAATAATTTTTCCCTCCTGTACAGCAGGTCTTACACAGGTTTGTGGTGGCGGTATTATGCTCACAACTGCAAATAGAATCTTCCAGCAGGACAGTGCTCCATGTCACAAAGCTTAAATTGTGTGTAAATGGTTGCAAGAGCATAATTAATATCCTGACCACCTAACTCGTCGGATCTTTACCTGATAGAGTACATTTGAGATGTCATGGAACGGCGGCTCAGAGATCAAGCACCGCCGTGTCGGAATATCGCTATTTTGTGTGACCGCTACTTAAAACATTTGGTACAACCTGTTTTCAGTCATCTACCAAAAACTATGGCATCCATGACAAGGTGGTTTTCAGCTGTTTTGCAGTCCAAGTGTCGCCCAAAGCGTTATTGAGTAGGTGGTCATAATATTTTGGCTCTTCAGTGCATCTCATGATGCTACATAAAATTATCAAACATAAGCACGAACGTACGGCTATTTCACTAAATATTTTATAAGTTCAATATTTGTAGACTATTATTCATTATTTATAGGCTATTGTTTATTGTATATTGCTATTACCGTTATTTCTGTTTTACTCGTAATTATTTATATTTTAGCATTTATATGTTACATTTACGCTTGAAAATTTCATTTTGAAGAGAATGACGAGTTTAAAAGGCAGTTTAGAAACATTTACAAGTGTAACTGCAGGAGAAATTGTTTTATCCTTTTGACTTCCTTGTATGAAGGGAAGTATTGTAATCGCGAAAAGTTTCACGCATCATATTTCAACGAAAATATCCATTTTGGCCGCTATCGAATGCAATTTAACGATGTTTTTGCGTGACATCTGTACGTAAAGACAGAATAAAAGACTCTTTTCTCCCAAAAAAATTATAAAACTGATTTAAAATGAATTCTGAAGATAATTTTTCGTGGCGTCTGTACGTACGTACCTATCTCACATAACTCAAAAACCAGCAGGCTCAGAATGTTGTCTTTTTGTATATAGGACTGCTATAACATGTAGATGTGCACCTCGTATTTTGGTTGCAATCGGCCGCACCAAACGTGTATATATATATATATATCCACTCTGTTACTCAGCTCAGTGATTTAAGTTTCTTTACTCTTATATGTTTGTGAGTTGTGCGTTTTTTGCTTTAAAAATGATTGAATTATGTTGTTCTTATATTCCATCTAAGGTTGTTACGCTTTTAGTAAATCTGCATGCAATATTTGTAGAGTTATCAACAATTTAAAAGTTAAGACACAATATCACGCCGAACAAACACTAATTCAGAAGTCAAACAACTAAAATCAGCGTTGTATTTTCAAATTTTCACAGGACTTCTTCATCCATCTGTTGATTATTAATGCTATACACTTTTAAAATTCTTGCAGTGGAAGACAGACATTCTTGCAGTGGAAGACAACAAGAGAGTTGAATTTTTGTACAGTAAATTTGACTTAAAACTACTTTATGTGACTCCTTAATTGTAACTCCTCCTCCTAAATGAAATGACTTTGTTCTGAGGAGGTTAAATGACGAATTATCTCTGCAATCCTGAATAGATGAACTAAATAAAAGAAATTGGAAACGTGATATTTTCCTTAATAAGGAAGTATAATGAATTATTGCATAATGCTATAATCTGGTTTTGTGTTATTTAATGTTTTGATAACTTCAAAGATAATTATTTGTGATAAAAATTTAAAAGAGTTAACGGTAATAAAAGTGGGATGTTTCA